GATTTTGTAGTTATTAAAATGAAATTGAAATCTCCAATCAGCGTGCTGTGATCAGCTTAAATTATGGTAAATGATTGTCAAATAAGTACACTATTAGAACATTGTGGCTACTTCTATTATAAATATTTACTGACAAAGTTATCATTTTAATGTGGCATATGTTTGAGTGTAGACATATGATCGTATCTACAATATGATGTTGTGTAAATAAACAAATTCATTGGTGGAGAAGACTACCACCACAGATGTGTGAAGCAGTACTTGATAATAAACATAAATTATGAGAGAAAAGCTACTCCCTATACTTGTGTGTGAAAGTCAATGCCATGAATTGAAAATATTGTAATTTAAAAGAAAATTAAAAAGAGTCATCACATGAACATATCTTTATATCTACATAGACAGTTTCAAATGATGGCTGTTTGAAATACACTTTTGTGGCAAGGGTCAATTTCGGTTAGGATATGATTCATAATTGATTAATCTAAAATTTTACTATTATACACTCATATTTTAATTTGATAAATTAATTGAATTAATTGTGAGCAAATATCTAACTGAAATTTTTATGATTACTTGATGATTTTAAGTTGACTGTGAAATTGATTGACTACGGAAATTTTCCTAAAAATATTATAGTTGATTGAATTTGGGCTCTTTTGCAAATTTTTAGATCTACTGTCTAAATTTAATAGTTAGGGTGTGTTTGATTATATTTATTTTTCATGAAAAATATCAGTTTTACACCCAAATTCCTACTTGAAGTGTTTGATTGCTATTTTTTTCCATGGAAAATATTTTCCAACTTTTGGAAATATGCCTAATTTTCCTTGTTTTTAAGGAAAACATTTTCCTTGAATAGAGGTGATTTTTATTTTCCACAAAAGATGGAAAATATTCTTTTCTAGGTGATATTTTCCATGTCAATCAAATACACCTTTCCTTAAAAACAAGGAAAATTAGGCATATTTTCAAAATTAGACAGCATGAAATTTTTGAAATGCATGGAGGTAGAAAAGATGACATTTTGAAATGTACGAAGGTAGACAAGAAGACTGCAAACATGGGATGTCTATTCTTCTATTATAGTAATGATGGTAGGCATTTCAAGTGGAGCGATGTTTCATTTGGTGAAAATGAACATGTGCTATTTAAGGGAGATTATAGTGGTATGTCATGATGTGATTGTTTGGGTAACTCTTACTTCCAACTTCATATATCAAATTTCAAAAAAAAAAAAAAAAATCATTTAGTTTTAAAGACTCTGTTTAAAGGATTCGATTGGACAGATTATGAAGATAGAACTTGATATTATTAATTTTTATCATTTGTCTATTGATAATTGCATTTTATTTGCTTATTCGAACTTCTATTTTATTTATTTATATGTAAACTGAATGAATATCTACTTCATTTGTGAAAATTATGTTAATTGTAAGAAAATCTCAACTTATACACAATTTATGTGAAAAGAGATTATTTGAAGTTTAATTGGAGTTGATTTGAAGTAACTGAAGATTATCTGGATTGTAAGAGATCAATTGGAAGTACTAATGTAGCCTTCGGTAAATATTCATAGTTTTTAGGAGTTAAATTCAACAATTGAAATTTTTGAAGGCTAAATTGCATACATTCGGAACTTAACTTGGGTCAACTATGAAGATGACTTGATTACAAATATTAGAAGCTGAAGGGCCAAAAGCACACTAGAAAAGGGAGTTAATTACCCAAATGGTCACTAAATTTTACAAAAAGTTTTCCACGAGATTATTGAACTTTAAAAATCACACAAGTCATCACTGAACTTTACAAAAGGTATTCACGAGTTCACTGAACTTTACAAAAAAATTTCACAAGATCACTGAACTTTAAAAATTATCCATTTATCACTAAACTTTACAAAAACTTTCCCAGGGGTCCCTAGGAAAGCTTTTGCAAAGTTCAGTGATCTCGTAGAAATCTTTTGAAAAGTTCAATGATAAATGGAGTGATTTTTGAAGTTTAGTAACCCCATGTAAACATTTTGTAAAGAAGTTCAATGATGATATAGGTAATTTTTAAAGTTCAGTGACCCGGTAAATTTTTTTTACAAAGTTCAGTAACCATTTGAATTATTAAGCCCTATGAAAGGAGTTCAATTAGAAAAGAGATTTGTTTCCATTTTTTCACCAATTGATGGGAATCAATTTGAACAAGGATTTTGTCTAAATCTTGCTATATAAATACATGACTTCCTCCAAAAATTAGAGAAGGCTTGTGGAGTTTCATTATACACATATTTTGAAGTCGAGGCTTGTGGGAGATTCAATATACATATATTACAGAAGCCCAAAAGGAGAGAAAAATCAATGAATCAATAAGAAGTTAGGATTCCAAGATTTTACAAGAAGAATGAGAAATATTGGTACAAGATTTCCATCTTTTTCTCCTTTTTTCCTTTAAACCCTGTTATGTAATTTAATTCTTCTTCCATTATGTGTAATTAATTATCTAGTTAGAATGAATGACTATAACCTAGATTTGAACCATAATTTTAATTCAAAAGTTTTAAATCTTCAATTAATTTTGTGAATTGTTTTACCTTCCAATCTTAATGCTGGGATTAATTGGCCACTAATTCATTGAGTTTATGAGCGATAATTATGTCGAAAGGTGGATTATTTATTTAGGCCACGTAGTTAACATTGAGAACTAATATAAAAGCACATGGATATATTTTCTAATTAATGCGGTTGTTTCAAAAGTTCCTGAAGATAGGTTCGCCATAAACTGTCGTACACACTTGCATACCCTTGGAGTCCCTGCACATGATTTCATGCGCCATTGGACTGACTCACCCGTCGACCACCGTAATACACCTCCACCTGCATGTCACGTTGGTGATCTCCATTTCATTAAACTCCTTCTGATTTGGTCGAAAATTGTATAAATAGCCTCAATTTTTAAAAAAATTTAGACAATTTTTTTTTAAATCTATTTTCTACTTCAATTCTGCCACTTTTTCTTGTCTGATTTTTTAGCCGAATCCACCACCTTGAAGACCTGATATTACAGAAGGTTGCTCGAAGATCTTCGAAACGGTGATTTTCGTGTTCAGTTTCACGTTATCTTTCTTTACCAAACAACCAATCCAAACAATTCCAACCCACAACTAACATATTTATCTCGGTTGCTTCTCAATCTCATCTATAAAGGACAAAATGACAATGTTGATTTGTAAGCAACAAAGGCACGAGTCAAATGATGGAAGGATGTACAAGACGGAGGCCAAAGATGCAAAGATAGTCACCGATTTTTCTTTCAAGCAAGGTAGCCAATTTTTCCCAGCAAGAGGACTGCCACCTTTTTTCCCTCTCTACACACACTCTACAAAGGCTAGGTCAAGCAACATCTATATATATAGGAATAAGTTAGGTTTTAGTTAGACCAATAAAAGGCTTAAATGGCCAAGATCTAATAGCCGTCCAATAGGTAAATATGTGGGCCATGTCTTAAGCTACTTCCAAATGTCTACGTTATGTTCGGGTCGAGCCTTTAGACTTTGTTGTTGGTAATCAATTCACCATTGATCGAGGCCTGTGAAAATGTATTTCGACATTTTACTTCATCGCAAGGGATTTATTAGATACCAAAACCTCACAGAAGGGGTTGGGGAGAGGAAAATGGACGATTTAGTAATATTACTATGTGCACTAGCAAATGTTGACGAGGACAAGGGCGAAGGTGAAGTCCAACAATGGGGGAAGCCCAAAATGATCAGAGAGAGATGAATGAAAGAAAAATGGGGCTGGAAAAATAATGGGAAGGGGGTGGTTGGGTTTTCGGGGGTGAGTCAAAAAATAGAAAGAGTGTTGTACCATTTATGTGGCAACTAATATCCTGCACACTAAGGACTAGTTCTGTTAGTTTAAATACAAAGAAAGAAAACTATGGAGGCAGAAGCAGTTTATTGTTAAGGATTTTTGAAATTTTTAACACCAAGAACAGTTCTAATGGTGTAAATGTCCATTTCAAAACACATAATGGTATAATGCCATTTCGTGTCAATGGTATTTATGACACTTTTAGCACCTTTGTCTCCCTTTAAAATAAAACTCTTTAATTTTCATACTCATTTTCAATTACAGATTCATACAATAAAATATTGAATTCAAAACTTTTCTCTACTTTTTTAACCAAACATTCTTCAAAAAATCACCATTCAAAACATCATTATTTTTATCAATAATGACCATAAACATGGACTTAGAATATAAATAAGGGTATTTCTGACTTTTTAACATATAATGAGCCTTAAAAAGTTATTTTAAATAAGCTACGCCCATAATCACTTTTGATAGTTTAACAACACTTTCTAGAAAATAGCCACATCAGCTATATTTTATCTTTTCAACAAGTTTGGTAACCTACATTGTGTTTGTGGATGGAATTTCTAAATAAGAGTTAGAATGGAATTTTCTGAGAGGCCAGTAATCCTTATATAGCACACATGGACTACTTACTGTCCTGTTTCGCCATTTATTTGGGGACGTCAACGTAATACAATGGTCATTGGTTTGATTTCGCATACATGTTTCCAACGTAAACTGAAATTCTGTCTAGTTAGTTGCGTTACACTCTTCACTGCTTATCAGAAATCACAGCTAACTTGATTGTCAAAGTGAACATTTTTTCAACTTGTGACACAAACTAATTCTTGCAATTTGCATTTGAGAACATGTTTCTTATCCATATTAGTGCTTCCATCGAAAAATATATTGTTTTGTTTGGTGAAACTCAAATTTGAACTCAAATGCAATGGATTGAAAAGAGAAAGTCAAGAATGCTATAACTTAGCAAAATAGCATAAAAAGATTAGCTAACAGAAGACATTGTTTATGAAGCATAACTCAGCGAAGGCTAAGGCTAAGGCAGAAAGATAAACAAGAAGCAAGCTATACTAGACAATTTGCACTAGACTTCTACGATATTTTGAGCTTTGGGATATGGGAAATACTAATTCAATATTGATCTCCAGTTTCCTTCTTGTATTTCTGCTGTATGAGAGGACAATTCTGGATACGCAACTTCCTTATTGGTGCCGCCTTGAAGAGAGGATGCGGCAGTGCCTTCAGATTGCTGCAGTTGTAAAGTTTCAAAAAGCAGAGTCTAGTCATGATCTTGATGTGTTCATCTGCAGCTCTGATCATGTTCCATTCTTCCCAACTTTCCATGTTTGAAAATTTCAGTTTCTTCGACTTTGGGAATGCAATATTTTCAGCTGATGATAATGCCAGTGATCTGTCTTTGCTATCTGTTGTGATTTGATCATTCACATTGTCTGTTGCACCCAAAAATTCGAGTCCAAGAGATTTCAGATTATGCAGACCATCTATGTGGAGAGTTGCCAGGGACGGAAGCCTTCCAAAAGGAGGCAAAATTGTGCAATGTTGGCACTCTTGAAGTGACAGATCTTTCAGGTTGGTCAAACTTACCATCCAATTGGGGAATCGAGTGCCTCCATATGAACTTATAACTAAAGATTGCATCCCAGGGTGCAACTGAAGAGCTTCAATCACTTCGTCTTGGTTGCCTGTTTGAGCCTTAGAGTTGAAGTCGATGTGCAAGTCCGAAATATATTTCTTTTCACTCAACTCTGCCATCCGGGCCTCATCAGCATTTGTCACGTAACCCAATCCTTCGATTTTAAGACATCATTGGAGGTTCTTCAAGTTTTTCAAATCCTCTAGCCCGCATGTTGCCCCTTCACCTTCACTACCACGAACAATGACAAATTTGCTCAAAGTCTGAAGTGAGTTGCAAAAATGTTGAGAAGTAGCTATGAGCTTCATTTGGGGTAGTTGTCGGACGAGGACAGTTGGTCGCTATTCAGTCAAATAGCGTTTTTCGAAAGAAGTAAAGAGGATTGTGAAGAATTGGAAGGAAAATAGCTGACAAGTGCCGGGGCATACCTCTTACTGTAAAGACTATTGGCAGTCTCATGCGGTTCAAGAATTCTTTACAAGATTGGCAGAATGTTTTGAATAGTGAATTTTGGGAATTTGAAGGAGCAGAGAAAGGTCTCTTTCCTCCTTTGATATTGAGCTACTTCGATTTGCCCTCGACAATGAAAAGGTCCTTTTCTTTTTGTGCTTTCTTTCCAAAAGATCACGTCATCAATGCAAACAATTTGATCAAACTCTGGATGGCGCAAGGCTATCTCTGCCCTGAGAAAAATGTAGAAATGGAAGTATTAGGTGAGGAATACTTGCAAAACTGGCTATGAGGTCTTTCTTCCAAGACATAGAAAAGGACAAGGACGGTAAAAGGATTTTAAGATTTAAGATGCATGACGTGGTTCATGATTTTGCGCTGATAATCTTAAGACAGTCCAATGCAATACAATTGTTCCCATTTTGCGCAACTCTCTCATTTCTTCGTCGTCTCTAGAATTTTACTTCCAGATGCACCAATTTTGAGAGAGTTGAACAATTGTTCCCATTTCCTGTAGTCATCTGTCCACACATCATCTAGCACAATCAGGAACTTCTTTCCTGAAATAGCGTTCCCAAGACGGCGCAATACAGTTTCAAGTTCAAATAAATACAGAGCATTACCTTCAAGGTCTTCAACAATCGCTTTTGCAACTCGAACTTCATCAAAAGGCTCAGAAACACATACCCACATTTTTCTCTCAAAATCTTGCTCTACAGAAGCACAATTGTAGACCATTTGTGCTAGAGTTGTTTTACCAATTCCTCCCATGCCGACTACGGAAACAACATGGAATCCATGACTTTGTCCACTCTCAGACAAAAATTTGCTTAAAAGAGTATTCTTATCCACATCTCGACCTCGTACTTCAGATAAATTAATGTAAGAGTTAGTCTTTAGTCTCTCAGGATCACCACTCTCCATGGACATATTAAAATTGTACCTATCTTTCTCCGTGGCAATAACATCAAGTCTTTTGTTAATGCCCTTAATCTTGAGGGCTATGTTACGAAATAGGACAACTCGTCTAAATCCAAGGCAAGGTAAAGAGACTAAAGACCATACCTTTTTCTTGGAAAGGAATGAATCTTCCACACCTTCAGTTTTCGCATTTCAGATTGCAGCTAGCCATTCTGACAACACATCCTCCATGTCATAGCCTATGTCTTTGAGCTTTTCTAACCATAATTTCACTGATTCATCCATCCTTCACTTGTCTCTTTTCAGCATCAACAAGCACAGCTCGGATGGATTCCAATCCGCTGGTGAGTTTTTTGATATCCTTTTTGACCCCCACAACTAATCTCACCTGCTGTCGGATTTGTTCTTCCATGATTTCAGCCAATTGTGTTAAGATTACTGTTATAATTGCTTCAGCCATGGTTGAAGAAGACAACAGATTGAATAAAAAGTAAGTGAAATTGGCTCAAAGAGATTAGGTAAACAGGGATGGATTTTTCATTTTTCTTTTTGTCACTGAAATGAAAACTGAAACACGAGGGAGTTATTTTTTGGTGCTAAAAAAATCAACCATTGATTTTCCAGGTAAGAGATTGGAAATTTCCATGTGGGTACCCATAGGAAGGCTAAGTAGGAAGACTTCCATTATCGCGTTTTGATAGGAAGCATCACATTTAGTAATAAGGAATCTTAGAAATTTTCAAGTGATTGATGCATAATTGACAAGATTTGAGCTTTTCTGGTACTCTTAATATTGTCCAGCACTGTCTAATTGTCATGTAATGCACGACCAAACCCTGAGGCATAATGTAAAATCATAGATAAACAGAGATAGTAAAGGAATAATGCTACTTTGCCATAAAATAGGTGACAAATATAATGACATAATAGGTGTTTAACAACTATCCGATTATTCATTTATACGATCTATCTGAAATTTGAGTCTAGGAAGTCTAGACGATCATCCTGCTCCGTAAGAACAGGTTGCTACACCTACACTCAACAACAGAGGAAGTCTAAGACTTCAAGCTTGCCAATACCTTCTCTTAAACAATAATTTCATAATAAGAAAACAGATTCTTTGAGACCAAGGCCTCGAGATCATCGAATGAGTGCTGAAAGTATTTCTTGTGTATTTCCCTGTGCTTCTCAACCTCAGCATGGAATTTCTTGTATGCAGGAATCAACTTGTCAACCATGGACGCACGAAGTTCATTCAGGAGCTCTGAATCACGTACTATCCAGTTTGTGTGAAGTGTCTGAATCTCTTCAAACACTGAATTAAAGGCCTTCAATCTTTTCCTCAATGCACGTTTTGACACCTGAGTAGAAAAGCACCAAGTAACATAAAGTCCCTCTTCGCGAAAACATGACAAGAACTGGTCACAAGTCGAAACCTGATAGCTAGTCATTGCTTGCATAACATTCGTATTCAATTTCTCCATATAATCATCGCCAATAATCTCTCGCAGCTCCTTGGATTCTTCGATCTTTTCTACAATGTAATGAACATTGTTCATCATGAACAAATGCCTTAAAGGGACATGATTGAGTTTCTCCGACTTCCCCTTCAAATTCAGTTGTAAAACCACAATGATCAAAATCAAATGAAGAGCCAAATGACTTCTGCCTTTAAGATCCCCCAACTCTCCTTCTGGAATCAGTTGATCCTCAAATTTCAAAGGTGGCATTGATATGATCAAGTCGGTGAGGAGCTTCTTACTGCTTACAATGAGAGATATATAATTCATCACACGTTTCGTCAATGGATGAATGGCACCCCTATCATCTTGTATTGTTGAAAGCTCACGAAAAACAGCTTTCTCAAAATCCAATAACATCCTTCTTATATTATTCTCAAGTTGAGACACTGTCTCCTTCACGCCTTTTCGAATAGCCTCTGCTGCGCCAAAGTCGAACCGGGTATCAATCTTTAGTAAAAGAAACAACAGTGTATCATATAGGCCTAAAATTGTTCCCATCCTCTCTGAGGACTGATTACTGGAACTCACTGTTTCCGCAAAAACAAGTAAATTATTTGCAGAATCTCCAACTATTTCCCAAAAACATTCTTCACTAGCCCCATTTCCAAAACCAGAGAATAATTTCTCACTAATTTGTTTCTCGAAGTCAAAGACGATACAAAAACACACCCTAGCCACTCGAATCCACATTTCAATTTTCACCTTCAACTCTTCCCATAGAAACCTCTTTTTCTTGAAGGCATACAATTCTTCCAAACGAAGCCGTATTATCATAGTGTAGAAAAAGGATTTCCTCTCCCTCTTGTAAAGTTCGATGCAATCTCCAAGGTGTCCGCCAGAATTTAATCTTTCCGCGACATGCCTGAGATAAAAAATCTCCTCGTCACTCGGTAAATTGTATACTGATGAATAATCCTCGTATCCAGTACTGGCTAATGAACTCCAATCAGAGGTAATTGAATCAACAGTGCCAAACGGATCAGATTGTGTTGTGAGTACTTTCAGAAACTCGTGCTTGAGCCGAGCCATGGCTATGGAGTTCAGGTCATCAGATTCTGTTCCGTTTGTGAGGGACTGCTGGATTCTGTCCACAGCTTCTAGATACCGAGTTATTTCACTTTCACCACAGTCGAAAATTAGCTGTTCAACTGGTCTATGATGCCAATGATAGATTGTATCAACAGCTGATTGGTATGATATTGTTGAAGTCATTGGATCCATGGACCTTCTGTCGAACTGTTACAGATGGCAGAAAAATTTCTGGTTCAAAATTCCAATTTGTAAATTTGGGTGATAATGAAAATGATTGTACCTTGTGTTCATGAGAAAGTATGGTGGCAAAATTTCCAGTTGGTCCCTAAATAAATCCAAGCAAAAGATGGAAGACTTGAATTACCGCGTTTGAGAGGAAACTTTATATGTAATTATTGGAAAATATCGAGTCAGTCAAGAACAAAATTAGAGAAACTTCAAGATACTTTTTCCTTTTCCCCACGAATAAAACTTAACACTTACGTTTATTTATTGCTTAAATATATTACAAATATTACTTTCTCTTTCTATAACTATTTGACCATTTATCTTCCAAACATTCATTTTCTTTCTTAACAAAACAAAATGTCTCATTGTCTCTTCAAATTTTACGTCTAACAAAATAATATTACATGCAAATCTAAAAAATTTCCTCATTTTTTAACCACACATTTTCTATCATTACACTATTTAAAAATGCATTTTTATAAAAATAATGTGGCACAAACAAGGGCATATTAAATTTTTTTTGTAAGAATATTCAAAATATAGGGGTCCTGATAAGAGTGTAAAATATAATATTTTTCCCTCTTAATTATTGTATTCGTATGATTATTTGATGTCAAAACACACTCATTACTCTTATGTTTTGATCTAGGTCGCGATTTGATGGAAAATGTGAAATTTGGAAGAAATGAGTAAAAAGGGTCAAAGTGGAAGAAAGTGAAAGTTCAGGGATCAAGTTGCAAATAATTCATAATGAGATGGGCAATAAAATGATGATTCAAGAAAGTTAGGAGTCAATTCCCAATTGAAAAAAGTTATGGACTAGTTTTCAGCCTCATATAAGGACCCCTTTTTGACATGGAAGTTGATAGAATTGGAAGATGATTTCAGAAGCAAAGTTGTAGCCCTTCAAGTTAGATTTCCAATGCAACTTGAATCACCTCAATTGGACATCAGGAGAGAAAGTTATAGTCAAAACACTAAAAGCTGTCCGACGAGAAAATTTTTGCATAGTTCAAAAGCTATGCGACCGCGTAGAAGGGCCACTCCTTTGTTCTATGCAACCGCATGACTTATAACCATGCGGTCGCATAGGTATCCTCCGAGACCAAATTTGTCAAATTCCTAAATTGACGCTATCGCTTATGGAAATACGTTTTGATATGTTTCTTAAGCCCAAAAACACTCCAGAACGTGGGGATTAAACCTAGACTCCATTTTTCTCTCATCTTTGGCCAAAAAAACTCCATGGAAGGCTAAAAACAACCCAGCGAAGCTATGAACGAACTCGATTGGTGTCGGTATTTTAATGTTTCTTCATGAATGTGTTATTATTCCTATTATTAAAACATTTCCGAGATTGTGACTTCTTGTTTTTCATGAGTACGTTATGAAATAGATTTAATTTGTACTAAGTTCTCCATAGAATTAATCACGTTCTTTCTATCGAAGAATTGAACTATTCATTAAATGTTAATTTCATTTACCTATTGGTGTAATCTTTTACAATTTTATGCATATTGTATATGATTGTTTTTGGATTTGATTTCAATAGATTAAAATGATGTGTACAGTGTTGGAAATCTAAATCTTAGAACTATTGTCAGATCAAAGGATTTTGTACGTCATATCTTCCAATCAACGCATTATGAATGAGAAATCTTTAATTAGGTAAACACATAAGTGACTTACATTGATTAGGCCGAACCAATTGAGGGACTTCTGGTGCTTCGCTATCTTACATTTTGATATTTAAAACATATTTCAAATTGGTACATTATTTTCATACAAATTCATAACGAAAAACTCTAGTTTTTGAACCTTTGAACTATTTTTCCATTTCCATGTGGATACGACGCCCCAAAGTTATACTACAACCGCGTATTTTGGGCGTAATCAGGTTCCATTTTTTAAATTGGCATAAAACACCCAAATTATCAAGGCCGACTCTGCCATTGCAAGTATATTACACGTAAATTTGGATAAACAAGGTAACATGAAGTCCGCAGCTTCGCAGGTGACGTGAAAAATGGGAGACGAAATAGACCATCACATTGTTCAAACAGATTAAACTCTAATGTCTTGCATCAAGTTGCTATTTCTTTCCATTTTTTCATAAACTAGTTGACAAATTTGAAAATGTAATCTAACAAGGCTAGCAAATTTGATTATGTGAGTTCAAATTTCATTATATGAAAACAAATGCTTTGAGATCAAAGCCTCAAGATCCTCAACTGAATGCTTTACATTTATTTTCTGAAAGCTTTTCGTTTGTGTTTCACTGTTCTGCTCAATCTCAGTATATGTCCTGAACTTGTGTAGGAATTCCTTGTATGCTGGAATCAGCTTGTCAACCATGGACACACGAAGCTTTTCTCGGAGCTCCAAATCGGGTACTATACAGTTTGAGTGAAATTTCTGGATCTCTTCAAACTGGAAATTGAAGGCCTTGAATCGTTTCCTTAGTGCACCTTTCAACACTTGAGAACAAAAGCACCACCAACTAACATAAAGTCCATCCTCTTGAAAACAAGACAAGAACTTGTTACAAGTCGAGTCCTGATAGCTTTTCATGGCATGCTCAACATTCCAGTTCAGTTTCACCATATAATCATCGCCAATCATCTCGCACAACTCATGAGATCCTTGGATCTTTTGTACGATGTAAAAAACATTGTTCATCATGAACAAATGCCTCAAAGGAACATGCTTGTATTGCTCCGATTTGCCCTTCAAATTTAGTTGTAAAACCACAATGATCAAAATCAAATGAAGTTCAAAATGACTTCTTCCATTAAGATCCCCCAACTCCTCTTCCGGAATCATTTGATCCCCAAACTTCAATGGTGGCATCGAATTGATCAAGTTTGTGAGGAGCTTTTTGTGGCTTAAAGTAAGATTGATATAATCGATCACCTTTTTTGTCAATGGATGAATAGCTCCTCTATCCTCTGGTATTGGAGAAAGCTCATGAAAAACAGATTTCTCAAAATCTGATAGCATCCTTCTCACATCGTCCTCGAGTTGAAAAACTATTCCCTTCACTCCAGTTCGAATAGCCTCTGCAGCTTTGGAGCTGAAAAGGGCATCAATTTTTGGTAAAAGAGACGCCAAAGTATCATATAGGCCTAAAATTGTTCCAATCCTCTCAGAGGGCTGAATACTGAGACTCACTGCTTCTGCAAAAATAAGGAGATTATTTGCAGAATCTTTAACTATTTCCACAAAACATTCTTCAATGTGTTCAACTCCGAATCCTTCGAATATTTGCCCACAAATTTGTTTCTCCATATCAAAAAGTTTATAAAAACACACCTTAGCCACTTGAATCCACAATTCAATCTTCATCTTCAAATCATCCCACTGAAACCTCTTTGCGTCACGACCTATGCTCAATTCCATAAAACGAAGCCGTTTCTGCACTGTATGAAGAAAGTATTTCCTCTCACTCTTGTAAACCCTGAAGCAATCTCCAAGTTTGCCCCCAGAATTCATCCTCTTGGCGACATTTCTGAGATATTCAATAACCTCTTTATTCGGCGAATCGTATACCGTATAATCCTCATACGGTATAACATTTGCAGTGCTATCGGTTATCGAACTCCACTCGGATGTGGAATTTTGACCAATTGGATTATCACGTTGTCTTACCAGTACGGTCCGAAACTCGTGCTTGAGCCGAGCCATGGCCTTTGATTCCAGGTCATCAGATTCTCTCCCAGTCGCCGGAGATTCCTGGATTTTGTCGACTGCTTCCAGGTATCGACTTATTTCAGTTGGACCGAGATCAAAGATTAGCTTCTGTTCAGTTTGGTTTGAATTCCAATGGGAGATTCGATCCACAGCTGATTGGTGTGATATTGATGATCCCATTGCAATGATGGACCTTCTGTCAAACTATTACAGCATCAAATCAATTTGGCAGAAGAATTTCGGGTTCAAATTTAACAAATTAGGTCAAATTTCTGGTGCCTAATTGAATAAATTGATGAGCATGAACCGATGAACGTGTTAGAGAAAAATAATCTATTTGTTTATTTGTATATTAATTTCTTTCTATTATTTAACCATTTTTCAAAAATTTGAAGCCAGATTTCTCTGAACGCGTTGGGGGAGCTGACAGGAAAATTAAACATAACTGTGGAGAGAAAGCGACTTTGGGAAGGGAATAAGAAATTGCATGTTCTCGTGCATAATGGAACCTACTAGGGATCCATTCCATTCGATTCAACAAAAGTGTGCTGTTATGGTCATTTTTAATGAACATGTCTAGAGTTTGTGTCAACAACTTGTTTGAGCCACATATATTTTGATGAAGAACATGTGATTAAAAAATAAGAAAATTTTTAAATTTTCTTTTAATATTATTTTATTAAAAATGTGTGATTCAAATAAGATAGAAAAATGTATTTGAAAATAATGGAGCCCGGACAAGGGCTAAAATGACAAACAAATCTTCATTGTAGTATTGATATTCATCATGAGTTTTTTAATATAAAGACTAGCGATTGACACGATTATTGTTTCATCTCTTTGTAACTCGTGGACAAAATAGTGACACATATTAAGCCTCGTACAATGTGGTCTCAAGTTTTACCACATGGCAGCCACATATGGAGTGAACTTGGACTCGCATTCCACATTCTCCCGCCTATCTGGCATTCTAGTCGAACCCATATGGGCCGAACCCTGTGAAGAGGCCGACTCATGTAACGGTCAAACTCTCATGGATGAGATGAGACAATAAGGGGCTCTACAGAAGATCTCCCATGCAATTTTTAATGAGTGATTGATGTAATAATTCACTGCAATTGTTGTCTCCATTAAGCCAAACAAGTCAAGTCCAAGCCATGTGTGTCAAGTCTAGGGTAGGAAAATGATATTAGCATTAAACCCCTGTTTGGCTCTCATTATTTGATGTTATAATTTTTAGAATAATATTTTTTTGAAGAATATGCGGTTGGAAAAGAAATATATATATATTTTTTTTTTGATTTATTTGTAATTTTATTTCATTGAAGAATGTGTGGTTAAAAAGAAAAAAGAAAAAAAATCTTTTATAAATTTAATGGGGCTCAAACAGAGACTAAATACATATGATTGATAGATGCTCATGATAAAAGGCCTCAGCTGTCCGGATGAGGCCACGTATCTCTTCATCCAACGATTTATATTTATCATTTTCTACTATAAAATCTCACACATTGTATCATTTCAAAGATAATGTAAGTTTAGATTATTATGCTTTAACTTTGCACTCTCTTTCAACTCTTTAAAATACCAAAACACGACTCCCTTTTTACATCGGAGGCTCACGTGTGACGTTTAAAGCATAGCCCACATTCAAACACACATGCATAATCAATTGACTTGACTATCATAATGCATGCAGCCAACTCCACCACCACCAAGGAAAGCCAAGTATGGCTAACAGTTAATCTCAGTATACAGGAATCAACTTACGTGGTCGCAAGAGGCCTTGGAATCCATTAGCCATGTTAGAGGCACAAAATCGTGGTCAACAATACACAAATTTGGATTCTTTTGTGTGGAAGTATCAAGGTTGAATATAAGTCTAAAATGTCTTTTAATTAATCTAACAATCTCGAGCTCTATCACCCTTTTGTTAAAATGTCACGTATTGTCTTCATATCATGAAATTGTCTAAAATTGTTACATTCTTAGTTTTTTTTTTTTTTTTTTTTTTAAATTGAGAAGTCACATATTGAAACAACATTGCTACACAGCGCCACTAATCTGGTCAGAATTTTACATTTTCCAAAAAGCTAACATTCTTTGTTACTTTCTAAACTAAAGTAATGAACAGTCTAGTAAGTTACATATTTGTGAATTCAATTAAATTAGTAACATATTGTTTTAAATGACACATTTTTACTTATTTTTAAAGCGAAACTTGCGATAAAGGTCATAAACCTTTCAAAAAAGAGAAACCCAATTCCAAACCTATACATGCTAAACTTTTTAAAAATATACGTTAGAAGGACCTCTTGATAATTTTCATCCAAACATCCGTTATTTGACCAAAATCAAGTGTTTGACTATAATTCAACCATCTCTGAAGACAAAATGGTAAATCTACAATATCCTACTTAAAATAATTAAAATTATTAAATAAAAATAAACAAAAAGGAAAAGAGAAAACAAAATTTCTTCATCTCCTCGCAGACTCTTAATTTCATAGAGAAAGACCGAAAAATCTTCAACAGAGGGTAAAGATAACAAAGAACATACATAAATTTCTAGAGGTTGTATAATAAAATTAGATGCGTGAGAATTAATTAGGGCTACAGTGGAAGAAATTATTTATACCCTCAGTGTTTACCGTTGATCTCAGATCAAGATCAATGGTCTAAAGCAACTAACAATTTTACAGGATGATACTATGAACCCTAATGAAGCCAAGGAGAAACCAGTTGCGGGGTAGGGTGAGACTTCTAAAGCTACTGGAAGTGTAAAGCCAGTCATATGAGCGGATCGAAAGAAAAAATCAAGTACTTATCAAGGCAACCTTTTAATATTAGAGTTGCACTTTAGAAATAAGACATTTTCCATTTATTGGATCTGGGTTTGGGCCTCATCTAATTTGAAATTATCAGACAATGAAAACAGTATTGGGTCTAACCAACTTTCCATCAGAGCCCAATTAAGATTGCAAACTGGGCATCACTGTCCAACACAACCTTAAAATTTATTAATGAAAAAAAAATTAAATAAATAAAAATTGAATATGATGCACATTTTACTTCTAGTCTAGTCTTATTAGATTGACAATTATTTAAGTATTAATAAATTGCATAATTGTCATTTAAGTAACGTGGCTTAAGATAAGATGAATTGGTATAATGATAAATGTTGAATTTTTCTAGTAAAGTCCCACCTGGGCCTGGCCTATATAAAAGTTAAATCGGAAAGGTTTTTTTTTTTTTTTTTTTTTTTAACTACCTTCTAATATATTATAACACGTCTAGATTTATCAATCTAAAAGGAGTTACAAAAAATATTTTATTTTTGTTTATTGCTGCTTATACATACTAAGTACCCAATGCTAAATTGTAGTTGTTAAACTATATAATTAATTTACTACACAAATAGTTAGTGTAGATGCTTAAAACCTTCTTTTCATCAAGTCTACTTGAATCTTGACGATTTTAATCGAGTCTGCTTAAAAAGAGTTATTATTTGTGTTGCGAATATTATATGTGTGAATATCCTAGTGATTCTTTATATGTATCGTACTGAATGTTTGATAGGGAGAGTAGTTCTCCATATAATATTCCACACAGCCTCTTATTACGTGTAATATACACAGCGGTCATTTTATCATATAATACTTACAAAAAAAAAAAAAAGAAAAATTGCCCCTAGGGCACATCTCCAAGTGGTAAAAGGAGAGGGTGGAGAAATCCAGCTTTACCTGAGGCTGCCACGTCAAGGGTTTGAATCCTGAAATATGGATTTGACTCTTGGGTAAGTGCAATTGTACAAGCAGTCTTCCACCCTGTACCCTTAGAGGTATAACCTGCGATTTACCTCCCTCACGATACTCCAGGACAGGGGCGGTGGGAGAACCCTAAGGTTGGGGTTCAACCTTTTTTTTTTTTAATACTTACAAATTTGATATTTACGAGGTAGTAAGATAAAATTGCAGAATTCGTATATTGCGATGCATTTGTAATTGTTGTCTAAAAATAACTTAAAACCTAGCAACTGGAGTAGATAGTACAAGTGAAATCTATTTTCTCAAAATATATGCAAACAATATATTCAAGATCCAATGAAATGTTAGCTAGTCAATCCACTTTTATGGAGAGTAGAAAGCCACATCACATAGTATCTTTCTTTATTTGAGAGAACATTCCACATTTGGCAAGTCTCGTCTTTCCATGAAAACGTATGGTTTGGGATTTGCAAACCCTAGACATCTTCTACTTGATTCAATCACATGGCTTCTCTTAATTTCTTAATGTTAATAAAAAAAAAAGGGGCTTATTTTCTTGGTGGGAGTGACTTTCTTTCACTTTTTTCTTACATGCATCTCGAGGAACATGTGCAAATTTTCTATGTACAAAATCATCTAAACTTGTAATAAAATTGGTAACGAGTAGACTGACGTTTTCTCCTATAAATTTTAAGTGTTAAATTGGTTATATTATGTAAATTATTTTTTCCATTATAATTTTTCATTTTTTATTTTATAGCTAGTTTAATTAGGTTATGGGATGCAAAATAAATTTTAAATATTAATTTAGGATTAAAACTTGAATTCGCGTGTCACGATGAGCTATATGATGTTAGAACAAATATTGTTTATTAGAGTGCATGTCTATTATCTTTTTAGCTCCATTTCATAGAGCGAATTCTATTTGATGTACATTTACTATGTGCATAATTTACTTTGTGTGTGTTTGGTAATTTTTTATATCAGTAAATATAAAATTGTATTGATCAAAATTCATATAAATATATACCAGGCATATTCGAACAAACAAAGTTGAACTGACGATTATATGTACTCCGAGTATACCTCGGCAAACAAAATAAAAAATGTATAAATGATAATGGTTAAGGACCCAATGCTAAAAACTCAAAATGAATTAAAGCATGCGGTTACAAAGGTTTTAGATTCTAAAAATCCTCCTATTCCATGCCATTCATATGTAATAAATGGTTGTAGCTCGATGGTGGATGTAAAATTGCATGGCATTGAGTTAGCTTTGACTGAGATGAATCAACTTTGGAAACATCTTCCAGACAAGAATGTACATATGACTAAGTACATTCTTATTTCAAAACACAACATGTGCTTTTTCATCTTCTCTTTTATTGCTTGTACTGTTTTATTATGGTTTAATTTACATTGCTTTTATTATTGTTTAATTTATATTGCGTGTACTATTTTTATTTTCTCCTTATAACTCTTGTACTATTTTAGGGGTAGATTAACTCGTCATATTTGAGGAAGTTATACGATTAATTTAATTTTTTATTGAATACGAGTAGACGATTGTATTGAAATTTCGATATAATTTTGAGTTGGGCTTGGTCATTCTTTTTGGCAGACCAAAGTATATTCGTGTTGTTTTCCATGAGAATGTCAAAATTATATATTTATATTGTCCAAAATGATGCTTTGTGAACGAGAAATTGAAACTAAAAGTGCATCTGACAGAAGAGATTTAGATATTATAGGGACATCAAGTGTAATTTGTTCCACAAATGAAAATTGATCAGGTGTAATCATGTGCATCGTAGAAAACTATCTATGTACACGTGTACTATTGAGGATGCAAATCATGGACCACAAATTATTTGGATATACTTGACAAAGAAGGAATTTATGCAAGTGATTATAATTTGAAATGATGTGTATCACTATATTTGAAAAAGAAATATTATAAACACAAAATAACATAGTAAAGACTAAAAAAAAAAAAAAGAATTATTGAATGAATGAAAAGTTATTTTCTGAATATAATGTATTTTTGCTCTAATAAAAACAATGAAACTATCATGTAGAAATTAATGGACACCACTCTAGCTTTGCGCCAAACTCAAAATAAGGTACGAGAGATAATATTTCTTGTGGACATATATAGAGATGGCAACGGAGCGGGGTTCGGGACGAGGTGCCCTCACTGCTGGGTGGGGCAACTTTTTGCCCCATTTGTTGCTCCATTTAATTTTTTTTATTTTATATATATATATTATTTTATTTTATTTTTTTTACATTTTCAAAATTATGAGTTATGTTATTATTAGAGAATAAAATACAAATTCAAAATAAATTTTTAACAGGTGAATTGTTTAAAAATAAAATTATTTTTAATCTTTTTTTCCTCACAGGATGGGACATACTCATCCCGCCCGCCAACCTGTTCGGAGCGAGGTTTTTTGCCCCATTCGGGCCGGGGCCTTTTTTTTGCCATCTTGAAATATTGAATTATCAATGAGTAATGCTATTTGTACAATTAATTTGACGGTGCGTGAATTAACAGACATCTTGTCCATTAATTTACACATTACACATTATCAAATTACTTGTACAAATTCATTGTAAAATTATATTAATTCAGTATCAATACGCTTCATGTTTAGGGATAGGATAGGGCAGATTGCTCATCAAAGACCCCTGGCCGCTTTTTGAGGAGCGGGCCAAGGATTAAATTTCCGATTTCATTCCCCATTTTGCTATTTTTTAATATTATTTTTTTAAATGTGATTTAAATTTAAATATATAAGATAAAATACATAACAAGAGTCGTGGGGAGTGTGGCCGTAAATCATGTTCTCTGTTCCCATCTCGCTTTCTAATATTATTATTTAGTTTTTAAATACAATTTAAATTTATAAACATAGAAATAAATTAAAATACTTGTGAGGGCCAATTTATTTTATCTTCCCTTCTTGACTAATAAAAAATGTACGAGTAGTAAGTTGTCGATACACATCTGTTTATAATCATGTTAGAAACTTTAGGAGTTCTATGTAATTCGAGCATTAAAAAAAATTAATAAATTAGTCATTATCGCCATTTTTAATTAACATTTTGTTTTCTAATATTATTATTTAGTTTTTAAATACAATTTAAATTTATAAACATAGAAATAAATTAAAATACTTGTGAGGGCCAATTTATTTTATCTTCCCTTCTTGACTAATAAAAAATGTACGAGTAGTAAGTTGTCGATACACATCTGTTTATAATCATGTTAGAAACTTTAGGAGTTCTATGTAATTTGAGCATTAAAAAAAATTAATAAATTATACTTTGTCGATCCTGAATAACTTAATAAAAGTTGAAATGCGCCTAAAAAAAAGTTGGATATTAAAATTGAAGAGTCCAAGTTCATATATAGGCTCAAAGCAAGCCATATATTTTAAATTCGAGTGCAATCGTAGTATAACTAATAACTATTGCCCATGTTTGGCCCTTATTTTTCTTCTCATTTTTTTCTTTCTTATTTTCAACCACATAATTTTCAATAAAATAATATTATACGTAAATAAAAAACTTTTCATTCTTTTTTAATCACATATTTTTTTAAAAAATAACACTATTCTTACCATTAAAATTTGGATAGAATGAGGGCCAAATTATTTGGAGAATATATAATTTAAAAAAATAAAAATGCCCAGAATTTTTATGTAACATTAAATTATTCTGAGAAAATGAGAGAAAAAAATAAATTTTAGAAATGGGACTAAACGCTTTTTAACTTCTTCGTTTCAAATCTGGAGAAAAATGAGTTGTAGTTAATGATGAAGCCGGGAACAAGGAAATAACAATCGCCTGGCGAAGCAGTGTGGTATGGTGATGCCAATTTCTTTAAATTTATCTTCTCGTAACTGGATATAATAGGGATTGTGGGGTTTTTAAGGTTTAATAGAGTTACTCTTCAATTTATGTATGTGGAATTTTGTTCCCGTAATTAGCCTATGATTTTGGGCCCATTGATCAAATCATGGAAAACTTCTATCGTTTAATTTCCCCAGTTCTCCAATTTCCTGCCTATGAAATGTTTTCTGTCGTTTAGTGGTGATCAAGGCCTTAATGCAAGCGATTAGACCTAATTCTGGTGTCAATTCGGTGACCTTCTGATAGTTTCTCTTTTCGAGATTGACAGTAAAATTTGGTACATAAAGGAAGCCTCAAAATTAGCATTCTTGATCTCTTGAATCAAACCAATACCACTAGAACTCATTTAGCATTTGTCACCCAAATACGCCCCCCAAATTCTTCACCAATTTGTGTAAATATCCAATATCCATATTGAATGGGTGGAATTGTTTATAGCAGTACCGGGTCGAATTCACAATCTTTACACTTGTTAAATCATTCGATAGGCTCATGATATTGATGATCTCGTTTCCATTTTGATGCTCACCTTATATACTACGAATATCCTCAGCTCTATAACTCCCTCACCATGTGTAACTATCCATATATAAATCCCATTGGAATTGTTCATAGAAGTACTGGGTCAGTTTCACAATTTTCACACTGTCAAAAATTCTCTTATAGTCCCACGATATTGATGATCTAGTTTCCATGTCAATGCGTGCCATGTATAAATGTCAGTCAAGAACTATAAATATCCACGGCTCTAGAACTGTTTCCAGGAATGCGAAAAAGAAAGAGACGCGTGGGCGGCCCATTGTGTTCTAACTTCAAGACAAAGGTTAATGTAAAAGAGAGTGTTTTTTAAGAATTAAGTACTGGGATATATATTGACAGGGAGCCTGTATGCAAGGATGATTGTTTTGAGTGGAAGGGCAAGGGGGTCCTAATTGTCTAATAGAGCATTATTTAGGATCTTGAACCAATGAAAAGCTGCTCACCTTGGCCATGGTTTTCATAACAGATTAATATTTATTTATTAGTTCCAATGCTTAAATAGTACCAAAACTCAAACCTTATTGGCTGCTAGGATCTGCTTTTTGAGCACCCGACTTTTTCCAATTAAACCACACCACACAACCATTAATTCCTACATGCCTTCCTACATTTTCTGACAATTGTGAAGAGAATTTCACACCTGTTCTTTGGAAATGAAGGTTAGAAACAGTGAGAAATATGTATTATTCTCTTAGCAAAGATTATGCATTTGTTAAAAGTGGTTTTGATTTGTTTGGCTGCAGTTCTTTAACTGGGTGCATAATAAGCTCAATGGAGGACAAGGGAGTAAAAGGCCAAGTGCAATTCCTGCTACACGTATATTATCTTCTTCCTTCTTCATTATATCTTCCATTTTTTTTTTTAAATAATCTTAGTTTTGAATGCTTGTAACTCTTCTCTGGCAGTGTTGGTTAATTATCTTGTTGTGGAAGAAATATTATAAAGAAAAACTTGCCAGTAATTATCACAATCAATTTGATTTAGATTAAAATTAGATATGTTTTGCTATGTTGAAATTCGTTACTTTTTCTAAACATCGATAATGGATCCAAGGATGCACACGATTCACTCTTAAAGTTGGCATGAAGATGCTAACCGTGCATGAGATTTTCATCTCACATGGCTTCTAAGAGATAAGAGACTCTTCTTTCCATTTGAGTTTGATATGTTTTGCTATATTGAGCTTCTTTTACTTTTCACTAGCATCGATTATGGATCTGAGGATGCACAAGATTCGCTTTTAAACTTGGCATGAAGATGTAAACCATGCACAAGGTTTATATTATACAGGTCTCTTAAGTGACAAAAGAAAGAGCTTGCCTTTTTTCCCTTTTTTCTTTTACTCTGTAGCCTTGTAGTGCTGTTAACAGTTATAAATAATTGTTTGATCTCCATGCAATCATATAAAACATCTCTTCGTATGATCAGTGTTTAAAGAACCGTAAAAATCGAAGAGCCCATGATCAAGTCATCTGATAAAGAATCTCCCAAGGAAGAATTCAGTGATTGGCCTCAAGAATTACTAGCAATTGGAACTTAGAATATGTTCTTTGGATGTTAGTGTATCCATCATGAACCAAGATCCTATGAACTATAAAAAGTGACTGACGCGAAAATTTCCATGATCTGGAAAATTAAGCAAGTTTTCTTGATATAGTGGAAAGAGTTCAGCATATGTACTCTCTTGATTTAGAGTCTCAAATTCCTCTGTTTCCCTTGAAAGATTAAATTAACGAGTATATCTATTCAGATAGGAACCAATGCAACTTAGCTATTTGTGAACAGAAAAATACAAAAAAATTATGGTTTTTTTTTTTTTTTCTTTTACGTGATAGCCTTCTCACCTGAGGAAAAATGTAAAAGGCTTCTCCATTTACATTTTGCTACACCATTGTACATACCATGGGGTTATTGTCTATGGCAATTCAATTAGGTCATTACATATAAATTTAGTTCTTATTTATTGATCTCAAATTTTAGTTTCCTCCCTGTAGATCATATAAATAAAGAACCTCCCAAGGAAGAATTCAGTGATTGGCCTCAAGGATTACTAGCAATTGGAACTTTTGGCAACACAGATCTTGCAGAAAATCATGAGAGCCAAGTTGTACAAAATCCAGAGAACGAAATCCTACTGGACGAGCAATGTTCCTCTCCAGATTTATCAGAATTCACTGCTGAAGAAGTAGGAAAGTTGCAAAAGGAGTTGACAAAACTTTTAACTCGCAAACCAAAAGCTGAAGAACCAATTAACAATCTACCACTAGATAGATTCCTTAACTGCCCTTCAAGTTTGGAAGTAGATCGTACAATTTCTAATAGATTCAGCATCAGCACTAATTCACGTGATAAAGACGAAGAAGAAATTGATCGAACCATTAGAATAATCCTCGGAAGATGCAAAGATGTTTGCGAAAAGAAGAAGAAAGCAATTGGCAAGAAATCAGTAACTTTCCTTCTCAAGAAAATGTTTGCTTGCAGAAGTGGCTTTGCACCGACTCCCAGCCTTCGAGATCCATTTCCTGAATCAAGGATGGAGAAGGTAACTATATTTATCTTGTTGATGCATAATTCATATAATTCATGATCAAACTTCATATTCTGATAAAAATGCAAATAATTGTACCTCAGAATGTCTAGTCCCTTGTTGTTCACAATCTAAGATGCAAATTTCTGGCATAAACCATTACATATTTTCAGAAAACGTTCACTAATATTTGGTCTTACACTAGGATATTAATTTATGAAGCTGATTGCTGGTAAACCAAACCATGGACAAGTAGACAGATTATGCACATCTTAATGCAGTTACCTTGAATCCTTCCAAAGAGCTTAGACTTGTGTTGATGTTTTAGTCATAGTATTCTAACAATTTGTTTCTCATCATGATTCACAGCTTTTGAGGACAATGCTAGCAAAGAAGATGTACCCTCAAAATGCTTCTCGAGCATCATCCACAAAGAAATATCTAAATGATAACAGGCATACATCAAATGCTGAAAATCAAGATGAAGAGCAGGAGAAAAGACGCGAGGGATCTAAATGGGACAAAACTGATTCTGAATGTAAGTTCATAGTATGCAGTTTAGCATATCTGATTTAGAGTTTCAATGTTGTTGTATATAGCATGGCATTGACAAAAATATAAACCCGGATCTGCAGATATTGTTCTTGAGATTTAAACAAGCCTCGAGGTTGTTTACATTCCATTTGCAGTGCCTAAGCACGCTTATTGGATCGTGGCTGAATTGAATTCTTTAAGCAGAGGTATCAATATATAGAGTGGCACATGAAGTGATCATGAATTGACAAAAACAACATTTTGAGGAAAGGACACCCCCTCTTTTTTCATGGCTGTATCTATGATAGAAGATAGATACAACGCATGCTATGTAATATTTTGATACTACTCTGAAGATTTTCTTCGGGGCAATACAGTTTCCTCTACATTCTTATTCTAGATAGAGTTCCTTTATGCAATTCTTTCCTTCTTGTTGCTGGATATCTCGTTCCTATTCATTCTCTTTGTTTCCCTGGCCGTCAGTGAGTTAAAAGAGTTTCAAATTGTCATTAGATGTTGCCTATATCTTTTCAGTTTGCTATAATGTTCTAGATTCTATTGTCCTCTATAATGCTAAAATATATATTCTTGGAAAATAGAAACAACTAAATGGTCTCTTATTTTTTGGAAAATCAAATAGAATGTACTTCTATTAGTAAAAAAATATAGCTAGGAAATTTATTAATAAAAAGTAGAATGAAGTACTAATATCTCGCTCTTTATTTTTTATTTTATTTTATTATTATTATTTTTTAATGAGACTCAATTATTCAGTGGTTGGTAAAATCAAAGAACTAGTATAGTGGAAATCAATTGTCTCGTTATCTAGAAGATATAACACCCTTAGTGCTCAGCGGAATGTGTAAAAACGTGAAAGACCGATATAATAATTGTAATGGTTGTGTTATATGTACATCACAACTTAAATATTTTTATACTAACAGATGACACGAGCGAATCTGACTTTAAAAAAAAATAATAAATAAATAAAAATCTCTAATTTCTTTTTGCCATTAAACCATATTTCATAAGCACTATCATTTAGCTAGTGAACAAATTTTGACAATTTGAATTCAATTTTTTTTCACCTCATCAATCTGTAATGATAATGTGTAACAAGCATTTTCTTAATAAAAGAGAGTTATACTATTCGCGTGAAACCTGCAAGCGTTCGGATCGTTGTACAAGTAATAAAAATAGTGAGTTTCGAGTTTATCGTTCCCATAAGAAATAAGGTTTAAAATATAATTCAACGGTTTGTATTAAATTCGAGTGAGTAGTGATAGGAAAATAATGATTAGGTGATTGTTTATACTGCTTCTAATCTACACTAGCAAAGCAAGTATATTTTGGTTTTATCAAATTTGAATGCTTGTATTCGATTTATGATTCCCCCTATTTCCATCTATATCAATTATAATTAATAATCTAATAAATTTCATGTATTTTTGACAACCGATAACGCTAATATGTTAAATGTTCTTTTTCAAGATACATCAACCTATGATTAACACGACCCGATCCTATACCTAGTCCGAATTCATATGAAAATTATGCATTGAGGTTAGGTTATCTATATGATTGCACATGCCACAGATATTATTCCTATACCTATTGTTCACAAGTTGATTTTACCGTGTTCTAAACTTATTGTAAGTATTCCTACCCTACAACAAGTAACTAATTGTTCAATTGATGGTCAAACAATTAAATAGTGCAATGGGAATGCAAAATCAATCAAAAAATAGCAAGAAATATCTAAATTAAAGTTTTAAATTGAAATAAACAAAAATAGGGTTTATCGTTCATCCAATACAATAGAAAAACTAGCCTAGCATTCTAATGATTAAATTATACAAGAAATATTGGAAAAACATCACTCGAAAAGAAGAAATAATGAAGAGAGTAGAGAAATCCAATTCCTCGACTTGAATCTTGAAAAGAGACTAATATTCTTCAATAAGCTTGTATAATACGCCTTGATCTTGATGCTTAGTCTTGTTCTTCACCTCCAAAATATGTAGAATATGGGAATTTTTAGGTCTAAAGGAGGTCTGCCACGTTTTGGACGGCTCTTGCTATAAATATGGTGTCAAAAGATTGCAAACAACAAGTTTCCAAAACAAAATAAGGAAACAAATTTTTTTTTCGGAATTGAACCATGCGTACGCATGGATCATTTGGTGCGTACGCAAAGTACAAGTAATTTGGTCTCTGGAGTGGATTTTTGGAATCTCTTGTACGCAAGCCTACAAGCATACTTAAGCATAGTACAAATTTTTGCCGAACTTTCTCATGCGTGTATTTTGATCTTCTTCAACATATTCTCATCCCATGGACTTCTTTTCAACTCCATTTGACTCTTCGCATTCTTGAATAATCGTTTTACAATCCGATTCAACTTTTGAAGTATTGCATTTTAGTCCCCGACTTTTAGATTTCGCCATTTTTCACTATTTTGCATTCGTTTCTCCAATTCTTCATGAAATATCGAGTTTTACCTATTTGACACAATATAACATGAATTAGGCTATATTTCATCAGAAGAACTACAAAATATCATTATTTAAAGCCCCAAATAAGTGTATAAAATACACTTATCAAACCCCCAAACTTGAACATTTGCTTGTCTTCAAACAAAATCTTAACCTAAATTAAAACAAACACACAATCATGCAAAAATATTTAGCTAGCTAACCTAGTATTTTATCTCAGAATTGAAATCATGATATTAAATCTAATCTTGGCTTCAAGATCACAATACAGAAATCAAAGTCTTCTTTCCAATCAAAGTCGACATGTGTGTATGAAGAATTAAGCATAGCATCATGAATTCATAAGTTGTTCCATTCCCGACCATTAATAGTCAAATAGGTTCTTGTCCTCACTTGTGTGATTCACACACCTCCAAATTTGATATTTTCGCTCTTTTCAAGTGTGTAATCTAAGGTTGATTTTTTATACTATCATCACCTCTCTAGTTTAGGTAAATCTCACTGACTGCAAGTCAATATGTCAAAAAACAAGAATTCTCCATAATTTGATTGGTTCAATCTCCAGAACTCAACTAGGCTAATAATCCCTCATCAAAAGTCAAATTTTCTTAAACAGGTATTTAAAACTTAGTCAAAGCATTTGGTGCGTCTTCTGTTTCATGCACCTACTTTTTCTACTTTTTTTTTTTTTTCAATTTTCTTCATTTCATCACTTTTTTCTTTATTTGCATCATTCTTTTCCTTAAGCTTTTTAAATGACCTCTATAACAAGTTTTAGGCCGATAAGTCCCAAGTTAGTTGACTTTAGGGCAACATGTTTTAACACCCTTATAGGCTTACTAACTCGAGTCAAAAAGGCTACGAAGAGAAGTTTTCAAATAAAATATTTATTTTTTATTCATTGATTAGTGCAATGTCCCTTATGTTACCTATCTAAGTAAACCGACTTTTAACTTGAAACTTTTGCCCAGTTTGATCTTATTGACTTTAGACAATCCACACAAGATTTGTAATTTCACACATGAAATCATCATTTATCTCCATATCTTCCTACAACAATGAAACTTCCCAAACTATTCTAAATTTGATCTAAAGATGTAAAATTTAGTGGTTTTGAGTTTAGCATCTATAGTCCATTATTTCAACCTATCCAATTATGAAATTAACTCATTCCTACACAATGCTTAACTTAATTCATGTGCTTAATATATATCAACTTCGCGTGGAAAAGAAAAAATTAGCTTAAGTATGCAACTTATTCACCATTCTTAGATCAATCATAATTCAATATATACATTATTACCAGCCAGACTAACTAATTCACACAAGAACACAAAAAGAATTTTTTTTTGAAATTTTTCATTTTTTTATCTTGTTTTATTTTTCTAATATTTAAAACAATAAAACACAAAAAACGAATGAAAACTCATGTTTTTCACCCCCAAACTTAAATTAGACATTATCCTCAATGTCTTAATTTCTAAATTCGTATATAGGTGGATGGAGAAGAGAATGAAGAAAAGACTCTCCTGATATGGCGATGAAATTCAATGGTTAGCCTTTTCTTGTCTCACATTGTTTCCTTGGTAATGGTTGGTTCAAGTGTTTCACGATGTCATGTTCCTGCACAATGCGAATAAATAAAGAATTAAGACACAAAAGATCTGGAACAAGTGTTACTTGACTCAAACATCAATAAACCAACAAGTAACCTAAGAAAAAATGGGATATGGATGATAATTCCCTAATTAATACTATAAAAATAAACTAAATTATCCTATAACTAAAAAACAAAATAAATAAAAGGGATAGAAAGACTGGGTTGCTTCCCAACAAGCGCTTATTTATAATCTTTAGTTTGACTTTATTATTTCGACATTATGGTATTTTGAAGAACGCTTTTGATGCCTTGCTTAGTTTGCCCCTTTTGATTTTGCTCCACACTTCGTTGCTTCTACAAATTTTAGCATTGTCCCTTCCAATAATATATGACTTGCCTATCTCATCCAATTCAAATTCAACTATGTAGAGTTCTTCCTCCTCTTCAAGTTTAATAACAAATTCAATGATAGGGCAATTAATGAAGTCAACAGAATGTGGGTTAACATCTTCTTCATTAATTACCTTCATTTTGTTCATTTGTAATTGAACTTTCATCGCCGTCGTTCTTGTCTTCTATAATTGATATCTCATCGGGTTAAATGGCTAGTTCACCATCTACATCCACGGCAATGGAAACTCTTTTCTTTCAAACTTCTCTAGTGGATTATACCCCTACCTTTTAAATTCGATCCAGAATATGTCATCTCCCACGTACATTTTGTTTTCATCTAACTTGGCAAGATCAGTGTAGTATTTTGCAAGTACCTCCTCGTTCAACATGAAAGGACCAACTCCCACAAGCATGTTTGAAGGGACACACTCGCCCACAGGCATGTAGTCTTCATTAGTACTGTCAAATGCTAATCTTCAACATCGCAAATATTGTTGAGACCGCAGGAGCTTGAGCCTTCCCGGATCAGTGCATGTATACAAGAAGTAGATAGTATAATGCACCCCATAGCAGAACTCACAATATATATCTTCTTCTTCATCGTCCATGTCAAGATTAATTATTGCAAAAATAATTCAATTATGCCAGCGTCAGAATCTTGCATACACTGCTCAATGGCACCTTAAAAGAATACCAAACAAGAGAGATCAGGGTAGGTAACCAAAATCAACAAAACAAATAGAAATAAAAATAAAAATTGAATCTAATATAAAACTACTAAACTAAAATTAAATCCGTTATTCCCCGACAATAGCGCCAAAAACTTGTTGCCGTGAAACCCGCAAGCGTACGAAATTGTTGTTCAAGTAATAGAAATAGTGAGTTTCGAGTTTATCGTTCCCACGAGAAATAATGTTTAAAATATAATTCAAAAGTTTGTATTAAATTCGAGTGAGTAGTGATAGGAAAATAGTGATTATATGATTGTTTATACTACTTCTAATCTATACTAACAAAGCAAGTATATTTTAGTTTTATCAAATGTGAATGCTTGTATTAGATTTATGATTCCCCCTATTTCCATCTATATAAATTATAACTAATAATCTAGTTAATTTCATGTATTTTTGACAACGGATAACGCTAATATGTTAAATGCTCTTTTTCAAGATACATCAACCTATGATTAACACGACCCGATTCTATGCCTAGTCCGAATTCATATGAAAATCATGCATTTAGATTATGTTATCTATATGATTGCACATGCCGTAGATATTATTTCTAATACCTATTGTTCATGTGTTGATTTTATCATGTTCTAAACTTATTGTGGGTATTCCTACCCTATAACAAGTAACTAACTGTTCAATTGATGGCCAAACAATTAAATAGTGCAATGGGAATGCAAAATCAATCAAGAAATAGCAAGAAATATCTAAATTAAAGTTTTAAATTGAAATAAACAAAAATATGGTTCATCATGCATCCAATACAATAGAAAAATTAGTCTAACATTCCAATGATTAAATTATACAAGAAATATTGGAAAAACATCACTCGAAGAGAAGAAATAATGAAGAGAGTGGAGAAATCTAATTCCTCGACTTGAATCTTGAAAATGGATGAATATTCTTCAATAAGTTTGTATAATACGCCTTGATTTTGATGCTTAGTTTTGTTTTTCGCCTTCAAAATATGTAGTACATGGGGATTTTTAGGTCTAAAGGAGGTCTGCCACGTTTTAGACGGCTCTTGGTATAAATAGGGTGTCAAAAGATTGCAAACAACAAGTTTCCAAAACAAAATAAGGAAACAAATTTTTTTTTTTTTTTTTGGAATTGAACCATGCGTACACATAGTACAAGTAATTTGGTCTCTGGAGTGAATTTTTGGAATCTCGTGTACGCAAGCCTACAGGCCTATGCTTAAGCATGGTACAATTTTTTGCCGAACTTTCTCATGCGTGTATTTTGATCTTCTTCAACATATTCTCATCCCATGGACTTCTCTTCAACTCCATTTGACTATTGGCATTTTTGAATCATCGTTTTGCAATCCGATTCAACTTTTGAAGTATTGCATTTAGTCCCCGACTTTTAGATTTCGCCATTTTTCACTATTTTGCATTCGTTTCTCCAATTCTTCATGAAACATCGAGTTTTACCAATTGACACAATATAACACAAATTAGATTATATTTCATCAGAAGAACTACAAAATATCATTATTTAAAGTCTCGAATAAGTGTATAAAATACACTTATCACGTACCCTTAAAATAATGGATAAATAATGTTGAAATACATGTTATAGCAAATATATGACAAAAAAGAACTTTCTCATATAGATAATCTCTATACGCATGTTATATGATGCAATACAATTGCACATTTGAGTGAAATTCAATTTTGAAAAAGTAAACGAACTTAGCATTTACCTTTGAATTGTTTTTGAATTTGCACACAATGTCATCCAAATTGTCATCCATGGAATGTACGAAAAACTTTATTCTTTTAAGAACCACCAACACATTCTTTTCTTTTCATAAATGACTGTTATAAAGGTGTCCCCATTCTTCTTAAACATTACAAAATACATCCCCGAAGTTTATTTTCAACCCAAAAACATATTCAAACTTCCTAAAATATGTAAACAACTGATCTTCTTAAAAATTACAAAATACATTTATATTACTCATTTTTTCCATATATTAATATAAATTAAGCATTTTAGTCTATTTGCCGTCTATGAAGTAAAATAGGTAGAGGTATCTTTTCTCAAATTTGTTTTAAATCAAAAGATGAACCTAAAATTATTTTTATGTTTATCATTTTTACATTTTACCAAAAAAAAAAAATTCAATGAATTCTTGAACAATCGAGTTTCCTCAAACAAAAATTATATATATAAGTTTTGGTAACTGAACTTAGGTTCATATTTTCGATTGCTCACTGAAATTTAAAATGTCGAAATTTGGCCACTGAACTTTGAAAAATGCATTACGTTCCTGATTAGAATAGATGTTAAATTTTGAAAAATATCGAATTTATAATGAATAATATACAACATATTTCAAAATTTAATGGCCAAAACTCGATATTTTAAATTTCAGTGAGCAATTAAATACATGGACCTAAATTCAATAATCAAAACTCGACATTTTAAATTTTAGTGACCAATAAAAAATATGGACATAAATTTAATAACCATTGAAATAATTAACTCAATGATAGGTAATGGTTTGTGAAAGACAATAATCTTTCATTTTTCTTTTCTAGTATATCTCATTGAAATTAAAAATAAATATTTAATTATTTTTCGACTTTAATGAATGACCGACTCGTTATAAAACATCAAGACTCTAATAAAAACATAGGCTCGACCCAACTTGTTATGTCGAAAAAGTTGAGGGCTTTCTTTTGTAAAATTTTAAGTCTATTCTAATAAAAATAAAAGAAAAAAGCGATTTTTTTTTTTTTTTTTCGGTGATTATACAAAACCTCATTCGGAATCTAGCATGATTTTGTGCCTCCACAGTCCTCTCCGATTGCGGACAGGCCTATAACGTACCAGAGTTTAGGGTCTTCAGATCTGAACTTCGACATAAAGTTCCCCTATTCCTTTTTTTCCCTTGAATAGGGGTTTATACAAATAATATCACTTTTCTATTTTTTTTCCCCCTTGAAATGGGGTATTGGAGGCAATAAAATTGGAGAAATCTGAGCTGCTAATGCAATTTGATTCATTGAAATTGTTGGGTATTTCTGTGGGTTTTGGAGAAACCGAAAAAGTTGAAGTCTTGTTTTGAGCTCATCAATGTCTTGGGCAGGCCCGGAAGATATTTACCTCTCTACTTCTCTCGCCAGCTACCTTGACAGTAAGTTTCTTTTATTCTGTACTTTTTTCCCCTTCTTTGGTAATTGGATATTTTTTGATATTTGAATCAAATTATTGATCTTTCTATGTTCTTGAAATTTTTATTTACGGAGAAACTGTGCTTTTGGTTCTTTAAGTCGGTGGGTTGTTTTGGGGTTTTGGCATTTCAACCTGATTTGTGTTACGGAATTGAATTTTAGTTTTTCTGTTTTCATTTTATTGGGTATGAAGGGTGGTGTATTGGGGGTTATGTTCCTAATGGGGATTCTGACATATAGAGCCGATTCGAATTTCAATTGTATGTCTTTGTAAGCCTCTATGTAAATGGTAACATATTCATGAATTCGATTCGTTGTTTACAGGGTCTACTTTCGGATTGGTTGGCCATTTAGGCTTTATTATTTCAGATATAAAGCCATTTCAGGGGGGGAAAAATGAAAAACTAGAAGATATGGTTCCTACTTTGTCCATGTTCATCAGCATGATTCACACTTGAGTTTGAATAGTAAATACTGTTGAATTGGTTTATATGAAAAGCCTAAATTTTGTTTGTGAGATAAAGGTGTTTGCTTTATGAGGTCATAGAAGGATATGCTGTTGTTTATTGAGTTTAATCATCACAAGAGGAAACTAATTTTCCTTTGAAGATTAAACCCAAGTGAATAATGGATCTTAGATTACTTTGAGGTCATTGCACCTTGTTTTTAAATCCTCGTACATAAGAGTGTGATGATAACCTTGAAGGAGCTTTTAATAGCTTAGCCAAATGCTTCCTCCCTTAGATCTTCTCTCTTATTCTCTTCTAGGTGCCTCCCTTTGGAGAAATATGAAAGTGTGTGGCTAACCCTAAAACCTTGAAAAATATGGGCATATTTATAATACTCAATTAGGATTTCATAATTAAACAATTTTTCTTGGACTTTATTATAGTAGACCAATTAAGTAAAACCTTTATTAGAGCCAAGAGAGGGACCTAAGCAAGACCTAAGTTCCGATAGATGTTTCTAATTGTATCAAATCTTGATCAATTTCCGACATATTCTACCAAAAATCTGAAATTGCACTCTCCAGTCGAGTGATAATTATGAAAGCAAATTTTGATTTGATAACAATATCCTCCAATCATCATTTCACAAGTCAACCTCTGTTTGACTATCAATATGCTGAAATCGGCAAAATGGCCGTTATGCCCTTTCAACATGTATTGTCCTCCAAGTCTCATTTCATAAGGCTAATCGGTTGTGAACAAATCAGAACATAAGGTCCAATGAACTCGTCATCAAACTAATCAGCTCAGATTCAAATGCCTGTAGAAAATGCCTCGGAGTGAAGATTGTCTCATTGTGATAATTAACATATTCCATTATTGCATGCATATGATCTCTAACTGTTTTGCCCCGATTCCCAAGGCACCAAGATTAATCTTTTAATTAAGAATTAATTCATTGGTACCTCAAAGAACTCAAACTAGCAATCAAAGGTACATCACTCGTGCAGAATTTAGGTGACTCGTTTGATAATTGAGTAGTATCTCAGCTATGCTTCTTTCCGCTAGTCTACAAAAGTTTAGTCATCTACATGGTCTCGTTCAATGTGTACCAAAACACATTATTGTTTTATTCCCAAATCTAGATAAATCTTAATAAGAACAGTACAATATTATCCTCATAAAGCGTTCAACTTTATGTTTCAATTGTGAACGATATTGATCACGTCACATTGTGTCTCACTATACTCGGAATATCAAGTATACAATTTGTGACATTCTATATGGTCATGGAGCCTTAGATAATTGTTTCAAATTATAACACGCAACTGATTGAATATTAATTCATAATGTCATTTTACAAAATACTACTCAAAGGGCATCAAACTAACATATGCTTCCTGTCATGAGTAGGAATCCATCAAAATATAAACTTTACCTTGTGAATGTGTACTAATTACTCTTTTATGTCTTCTACCTTGACGGATGTTGTTTTTGAAATTTTAACGACCTCCTTTTGAATTGACTTTAACAAACAGATAGTGGACAAGTATGGACGACTTGCTAACTTAGATTGGAATACTGAATTAAATTTCTTGGTTTGGAACACTGAAAGTGGATGACAAACAAGATCTTTTTTTCTCAATGAAGTGAAAAAATTTCAATTACTGTTTATCTTTTTCTCTTATCCTTTGGTGTAACTTCAAAATGGATGCCATAAGTCTGTTACTGATTAAAGTCCAAGAAATGAAACCTTAATTAGTACCGGCCAATGTCTTTGGTGTATATGCTTGAATATTGTTTATTTGTTTATTGTACGCTTGCTAATGAATTTCAAGATTTTCTACTAGAAATAATTCAATACTTGAGCAGGTTAATATATTAGTGCAAGACAAGTTATTATCGAATTAACTTTACTAATTTAACTTTATACTGAATGTTGTTGAGCATGGGCAAACTTCTGTTTTCTTCCCCAGAGAAACTCCTTGTATTGCTACGTGATGGAAGGAAATTATTGGGGACTCTTCGTTCTTTTGATCAATTTGGTAATGATTTTGACATTTTTGTGTAATGTATCTTTTGCCTGCTTGTACAATTCATTATCATCTGATTAACAAAGTCTGATTATGTCATTCATAGCCAATGCTGTTCTGGAAGGTGCCTGTGAGCGTGTAATTGTTGGTGATCTTTACTGTGACATCTTATTGGGTCTATATGTAATCCGAGGAGAAAATGTTGTCTTGATTGGCGAATTGGTATGTATTGTTTCATTCCTGCAATATTTATCTTGCTTCTTTTTGGGTTGCATGAATTGCTTGCTATTGATTAGGACTTGGAGAAAGAGGAACTTCCTTCACGTATGACTTGGGTGTCAGAAGCGGAAATAAAAAGGGTAATTCTACTTTGAAAACATTTTAATTGAAAATTTTCATTACGTTATAAAGGTGCCATGGTGAATCACTTATTATTTTCCAATTTTCTTTCTCTTTTCTTTTTTCATTTTTCAGGGTCGGTGTGGGGGATTTATTAGAAACTATCCCCCACCCCCCCTCCTTTCTTGCCTTCCATGATTTTAATTTTGATTGCTAAAGAAATGTTTGGTAGTTGTGTGAAATATCTTCCAGGTCCCTTCTTTAGTTTAGGGTGGAAACTTAAGTAGTTTCCATAGCAGAAGAGAAGTCATGTCGACAACTTTTAAAACTCATGATTCTTCAGCCTCTGCTTATCTTATGTTTACATTTCATCTCCAATTTCTTTCCCTACATATGCGCTTGCATGTGTCACTCAGATATTCTTCGATTTTGTGCTTTTTGAGATGATGGAAGGTGGTGATTTTCATTGTTTTCTTGGTAGAAGTCATCAAAATCATTTTTCTTCCCCTGGTTTTGCTCTCTCAATTTCTACTCAAAAATGAAAACTGGTCAAAAAGTGGACGAGGTCACAGGGCTTGTATTTTGAGGGTTATTTTGTAACATTCTCTTGGAAAGCTAAGCCCTTGTAGGAGGTGCATATTTGATCTTAAAAGGGCAATCTTAATATTCTGAATTGGTGATGTTTTTTAATATAAAATCCAAGACGCCTCATGTATGTAGTTCGCCGAATAATATTCTTCTTAGCTACATTTGTTTTAAACTTTGATCAGGCACAGAAGGCAGAAAGGGAAGCTTCTGAACTCAAGGGTACTATGCATAAGAGAATGGATTTCCTTGATATGGATTGATGAACATTTTTGTGACATCCATATCTGCAGTTTGCTCAAAGTTCAGGCCTAGAATTCGGCAAATATTATCATGGTTTGTAGTTAGAAAATATTGCTGAATTCGGGTCATTTTGCTTGTTTTTCAACATTCAAAAGTTGAGCTCAACAAACAAAATTATGAAAATGATTTGTTTTCTCCTAGATGTATTGAGCATGCCTTTCCTCATCTTAGTGATTTTTTTGGTGAATGTCATTAAAAACATGCGTCATGGTATTTGTCGGGTTCTTTTGTATTATTTTGTTTTGGAAGGAATCGGGTTTTCGTCCGTCGACTGATTGAATGAACAGGTGGGGCTCGGCATTTAATTGTTTTGAAGTAACATCTAAAGTTTGTCTATTCATTTTTACTCCCATACTATGCTTGCTTAAAGATATCTTGTTGGATTACCGTACAGCAGGATTGGTAGCTAAACAGAAGCAAATTTTGATGTAAGGTTTTCATGTTTCTCATGGCATGTTTGCTGTGTTGAATTGGATCTAAACTTGAAGAAAAATGAGCTAACATTTGCCTGTTGTAATGTGCAGTGTCAAACATGCACTTAGCCTATATTTGGCTCATGCTTATAAAGGGTTAGAACTTTGATTGAGCACTTTCCAGTGGGGCATTGAACTTTAAAAGTTTTCTATTTAATAACTGAGTTTTGTAACAATAATGCTGAGTATATAGGGGTTTTGTGAACGGAACACCTACAAACACTCACACCAAATGGGTCTTGCCACATGTATAAAAAAATTAGCAAAAAACGCCACCCACCCCCGGGTGTTGTGTGTGTTCGGTGTGGGTTCTATTTACCCGTACCTTGTGAACTCGGCACCGTCCCTTTTGTAATATGTAATCGCTTTCATCACTCACTTAACGTCCGTTCAAAAAAGTGATGAAATTGATGATGTGATGAATGGACTTGCCTATGTAGCACGAGATTGCAATTAGTGGATGTCAAATCATAAAGTTGTTGATGACATTGTGTTTTAAAAACATGTTCTTCGCAACAATCTTGCTATTCATCTAGGCCTAGGGACAGGCCAAAAAACAGGGGGCTGATCAAGGGTTGAGGTGGGTGCATTGGCACACACCTCAGCCCCCTTTTTTGATCTTTTTTTAGCCTGGACGAGGAGCATTATACTCTTCATAGCTTAAAAAAAATGCAAAACAGAATTGTTCTCTCTCTCATTCAAACATCCCAAACACAATAACACAATCCAAATTGACACACCCACTTCAGATCCCTTTTTTTGATCCCTTTTTTAGCTTGGACGAGGAGCATTATACTCTTCACAGCTTAAAAAAATGCAAAACAGAATTGCTCTCTCTCTCTCATTCAAACATCCCAAACACAATAACACAATCCAAATCGACTCCTATAGCAACCCAAAATCGCGCCTCCAAAACCTAAAATCTCCTCCACTAAATTCATCTTCTCCTCCCCAAAATTGATCTATGGGTTCTTCCTACTTAAATTGGTTCTCCCAAACTCGCTTGTCCCTTCCAAAACCCTAAATCGAGCCCCATCTCCACCCTGTTCCAACCCATAAAAAATTAAACTTTTTCTCCAATAAGGTGTCCCTGAAATATTGAATAGCACAAACATTTTTGATATTGAGCGACAATCAACAGGTAATATGCTCTACATTTTGAAGGCTACAATTTGTATTTACAATCTTGCACTAAACCTGGCTGGTCACCGACCCCATCCTACCCAACTAATGTCACGTTGTTTTAGTTAATTAATTGAACACTGGTGTTGTCACACTTGCAGATGCTGAGATAGACAATGATCCATACTTCAATGTCTTAGACGATGACGTATATGATATTGAGCATATCTTTTTTTATCATAATGTGATCGAAGGCATTGAAATGGATATGTATTTTGTGTTGCAGGATGAAGAAGCCCCGCAATCAAATAGTTCTTCATATGCATCTTCGAAGGAGCTAAACTTTCTCAATGATTCGGACTCAAACTTAAAGGATAACAGAGATAAATCAAAATTTCCTAAATATAATGTTGAAAATGAAAAGAGGAATCCAAATATCGAGATAAGGTTCATATTTGGTTCATTTGAAGAATTAAAATATTTTGTGAGGAATTATGCGGTGTTCAATCGAGTGTCGGCATCTAAGATGCAAGGTTAAGACACGACTTCGATAAAACATATGATCGAAAACACACTTGCTTTAAGATACATACGAACAAATATGCAACCTAAAAATTACTTGTTGATTATTTACTTGGATGACTTTAAAGTGATCCTCGATGGAAAACAGAACATTTAGAATTACTATGAAAAAGGATTTGGGATTGCACATGACTAAGGGCTCAGAATATTAGAAAATATGCTAAATATTTAGCAGAAGCAAATGATGGGCGATGTTAAGGTGTTATTCTGCTAAATTATGGAGAAAAAATCCGGGTTTGAATGTTATCATTTCTCAGCTGGAAATTGTGTTTAGGGGTATTTATGCTTGCATAGAGGCATGTAAGAGGGGTTTCCTACAAGGGTGTAGACATGTTGTTAGTCTACAACGGTGGCTAAATGCTAGCAGCAGTTGGGATAGATGTCAACAATTGTATATATCCAATTGCATATGCTATCGTTGAGAGAAAGCACTCGTTCATGGCGTTGGTTTTTATGTTGTTGTCTAACGACCTTTCTATGGAAAATTGGTACTCCTTGACTTTCATGAGTGATAAACAGAATGGATTAGTTAATGTTGTTGCCGTTATATTTTCAGAAGCGGAGCATATGTTTTGTGTTGGGCATATATTCAAGCTTCTTTCAAATGACTTAAAGGAGAAGTACTTGAAAGATTGTTTGTGGGTACAACAAAGCAAGACACTTGGCATCTTTCAAATATTGCAAACGAGGATACGTATGGCTGGTTGATGGAAAAATCACCGAATGTGTGGAGTAGGTCTCACTGTTTAGATCAGTCAAAGTATGAAATGGTCCATCACAATCTATGCAAGTTCTTCAACAAGATTGTTTTGGACGATAAGGATAAATCAATGCTAACAATTTTGTTGGTATTCAGATGAAGTTGATGTATAGAATTCAAGTGAAGCAGGATAAATTGAAATTTTATAACAAATTAATGTCCAAAAGTTCAAAAGAAGCTAGAAAGGTACGGTGATGCAGCTCATGAGTCTATCTTGCGATGGTATCAAGTTGATTGTTTATATGGAGAATTTGTAGTGTACATGAAGAATAGAACTTGAGTTTGTCGAAAATGAAAAACATCAGGGATTCCTTGTCCATATACTATTTCTTGCATCCTGTATAAAGGACGCGAAATTAAACTAGAGGAAATTACACTCCATATCACTTTTTGGCTTGACATTTTAAAAAATGTCACTTTTTGATAATCATTGCAAAAGTATCACTTTTGAACTTTTTTCACCCTTGTACATAATTTAAACAATCCCGATATGGGTACAGGGAAACTTATACCGAATTCCTACAGGATTTTGAAAGTGATTACATGGCAGGTAATTAAAAAACAAAATGAAGAAAAGAAAAACCCAAATGCTGAAAAATTAAGTCGTCTCTGTAATCTTCATTTTACCCTACCATCGAAGACAACCCTTTCTACACAATACCAACGCCGTTCACTGATCGTCGAACGAACCCAGCGAAGGTGAAATCGACCCTAGTGCTAACCTCAACCTTAAGTCGGCGATGAAGTAGCGCAGCGAAGAACACCCAAAGTAATTTGTGAAATTCGCAACTGTAGCACTAACCTCCTTCGCCTCCGGCGGAATCCACAGATAACATTGGGTAAGCATTCTGTTGGGCATATCTATATTTGCATATAGCTTCGAGAAGGCATTGGTTTTATGCGTGTAAGAATGCTATACTCATGGCTATTTCTTTTGGAATTAGAACCATCATTTAAACCGTATTTGAGGACAAAGAGTTTTAAACCTGTGATAGAACTCTCAAACATCATGATATCCACAGTGTGTAGTTCGGTTTCTCTCCAATAGTCACCTTAAATTTCAGTATTCCCACCTCACACAGCATCAAAACAATGGTTGTTACTTCACATAGAGCTCATTATGAAAACTACTATTCTTCATTACAGATAAAGTAAAGTTATTGAAATTTGCACTCTTCAGTGTGCAATGCTTTCTTCAAATTATAATTCATGGGCAAAATTGAGTGACTGCCACAAGTTGTTGCCAGAAAAACTCTTTAAAATGGACGGCTCTCCAACTATTTTAAGAAATGTCACACTGGAGTTTTGTGTTATGTTTGGTTGTGATGTGCTTGAGATTAAAATTGATGTGTTTGTATGAATTTCTACTTCATCTGGCGAGATTAGTAAACTCCGTATAAGAATGTTATGTTGCTGAAATTTGAAGATTACTGGCTGGAACTTCAAATATTTGAGTTTGTTCATGAGCATAAATTAACACTGTTTCATTTACAGCAATCGACAAGAATGAGAGGGAAAATTTTGGAGTATGTCACGGTTGTAGAAGCAACACGCATTATTTTGGACAATGCCAATCAAAACGCCGATGCCCTAGTTGTGACCATGAATATTGAAACTGTTTTGAGGTCGAATGGGATACCAGTAACAAAGGGCGATTGTTCTTCACATGTAGTGATAACTGTGGATACTTTGATTAGGTGAAAAATGAAACTTTAGGTGACGAATCGAGTTTCGTTAATCGTCCGGATGCGCCCGACAAGGAAGATGAAGAGTTCCCGAGACAGTTCAATGGGCTAGCTAGAATTAACGAGAAATGAGGCGTAGACATATCATTGCACATGACTTTCAATAAGGAAAAATGAATAGATAAATGCGACCGGAAGGGAAAGGGGTCAGATTAAATGGGTGATTTCAGTTATTGTATGTGGTTGACACACTAATGTGATGTGAATTTCAGACGTTTTTAAGGATATGTTGGTGTTATTTCAATTTGTATTTTGTATGTTTTGAAATGTGAATATACTGTCCTTAATTTATGTATGCAGCCTAGGTTAGTAGATACAAGAGTTATGTGTGTTCTATATCCCATCTACAGTATTTGGTTTGGGGTTACTCTTGATGTTGTCTATCAAAGAAAATGTACATAAATCCGCCAACAAATATCATCCTACCAAAGAGGTTAACATTAATCAAAATGTACATAAATCTGCCAACAATGATCCTGCCAAAGAGGTTGACATTAATCAAAATGTACATACTTCCAGCGACAAACATCATCCAACCAAAGCTACAAATCATCAACCAACATCTACGTAAATCCGGCAACAAATATCTATTATACTTTGACAAAGAAATGACATCAATGTAATACTAAGTTAAAATAGCACAAAAATACTTCTAATT